CCATGGCATTTCAAAAAGGGCATTGTATCTCATATCGCCTTCGATCACGTGAAACTTTGTTTCCTGGATGGTTCCGACCACTTTTATTTGTAGGATTATCTCGCCTTTGGTGGTTTCACATGCCATATTGAACCCGTTTAAAACCAGAGTTGTGGGTACGATCTGATCCTGTAGGCCGAGCTGCTCTACTACCTTCAATCGGATGATGTTGGCTGAGCTACTTGGATCGATTAACACACGCTTAATTTTAGTTTTATTCATGAGTACGGATATTACCAGTGCGTCATGATGAGGTTGGATGACCCCTTCTGCATCTTCATCATCGAAGGACAAAGTCCCCATGGGTGCGTAATCTTGAGTCCGAGATCGCTTTTTCCTCACAATCGATGTTTTAGTGCGTTTAGGCATTGGTCCCTGAGGGGTATCGATGCCGCCTATGATCATGTGAATGACGTGCTGCGGTTCTTCTTGCTCGTTTTGCTTGCTGAAATCCCTATTTTTAAAATGGTTCTTCGCCCTATCACTCAGAAAATCCCGAAGGTGCCCTTTGTTGAATAAGAGAGCTACTTCCTCTCTTAGTTGCTTGCAATCTTCCGTTCTGTGGCCATGGGTACCATGATATTCGCACGTTTGATTGGGATTTCTTTGGGCAGGATCGGTCTGCATGGGTCGGGGCCATTTAGTATCTTCGATGTGTCTGATGGCCGACACGATAGCGGATGTACCAAGGTTGAAGTTATATTATGATAATCGAGGTGCTTCTATAGGATCAACATATTTGTCGAAGTCGCTCTTATTCATAAGTCCCCGAGAATTTTGCCCTCGATCAATCCTTCGATTGTTCCGAATTGTATTGTTTGCTGAACCGTTGTTCACCCGATCTGCGACGTACGATCGATAACGGTCTCTGTTTGACCTTTGTTCTCTGTCGATCTCCTTTTGCTTTTTAGTAGCTGTCCTGTTCTAATGCACGGGTCCCTACAGAGCTCTCAACTGATCATCCTCGAACCTAATTTTCAATTCCCAAGTTATCGCTGGATACTCGATCAAATTTTGTTTCAGCCGATATGATGCTGTCGAACTTAGCTCGTTCAACCCTTGGGTGAAAGCTTGTACGGCCCAATCGTCTGTGACCGGTGGTAATTCCATGCGTTCCATTTGAAATCGGGATACGAATTCACTCATTATTTCATTCTCCCTTTGCTTTACTTTGAAGAGGTCTGATTTCCTTGTTGCAACCTTTATGGCACCAGCATGTGCCTTTACGAACGAATCTGCTAACATGGCAAAAGAATCGATGGAATATGGTGGTAAATTGTGATACCAGATTATCGCTCCCTTCGAGAGGGTCTCCCCGAACTTTTTCAACAACACGGATTCGATCTCATCGTCCTCCAAATCGTTACCTTTGATGGCACATGTGTAAGAGGTGACATATTCGTAAGGATCAGTCGTACCATTATATTTGGAAATTTCGGGCATACAGAATTTTTTAGGGATTGGTTTCGGTGCCGCACGAAAGGCTTTTTGTATGAATTTTTTCGAATCAAGCCCTTTTATCATTACTGGAGCCCCCGGAATTTGATCGACCCTGGCATTGTATGTTTCCACTCTCTTGTCGTTGGCTTCGACTCGTTTTGTGAGTTCCTCGAGCAATTTAGTAATTCCGGGAGTAGTCCCCGATTCTTGTTCATTTGATTTCACTATGGCGGGCTCTGTTCTGGGGGTGACTTCTCGAAGTGGATTGGAATCCGGCCTGCTTTGTGCGCAAGTTTGGATCTGTAACTGAGCTATCGCTACTTGTTGGGCTTGTAGCATCTCGAAGATCATACGTAAGCTGGCCCCGATTTTCCCCGCGTTTTGGGTGTCTCGGGCTACGGATCGAGTACCGTCCTGAATGCTTTTTTCCGGTTCGGAACGCTGATTCGCCTCCAAAGATATTTGTGAATTGACATCCAATGGTATTTCGGTTCGAATTTCGGGTACTTCGATTCGAGCCTCGGTGCCATCGTTAATTGGCCTTCCGGCCCCGGGTGCCAAGATGTTGGTTTCATCTTGAAGGCCGGTTTCGTGGTCGATAAGTAAAGCCATTGCTGATTTGAAGTTGTAAGCTGGCGTGTACTTTAGATTTGTATCAAACGATCACTGTTACTCTTAGCTCCACGGTGGGCGCCAAACTATTTACCGAAAAATCGGATAACGTTAGATTTTGTGTGTGGTTATAAGGATATGCGATACAATTTGATATAAATCGTGTAGAGAAATAGAGATACGTATATTCTTGACTATGAGAATGCAAATAGTGGGCAATAAGAATGAATGAGATAAAGTAAAGCAAACACAAAGGGATATCTTTCAATATGAGAAGTGATTTTTTTTTTTTGTCTCTGCCCTTTAGCTTACAAGGATTCCCCCTTTTATAGAAGAGAGTTATTACAAAAAATAATAAAATAAAATATATAGTGGAAGGCCCATGGTGACTTGTCTCTTTCTTGATTCCCGCCAAGATTATCTCTCTTGGTACGGTCGCAACGGCTCTTGTCTGTGAGCTCGATACTGGCTCGAGCTCGTTACTGGGTCAGGCCTTTCGGTCTTGGCTCGAGTATGACCTTCGAGATGGGCGTCGCGCATTTCCGACCTCGAAGCAGTGCCTTGCGAATCGATTCGGCCACGGGCTCGATGGGGTTATCGAGCCGACTCCTCGATCGACCTTCGGGCTCGAGGCTCATTAGTACCGAATTCGGAGCTCACTCCCAAAAATCTCATTCCGACTTTTTAACACTCGAACTCGATTGAACGTAGGAAGGCCGAAATCTATTTCGAACATATACATTTAGCGACCTCATTTTCAACTTTGGTTTTAGCACTACTTACATATAGAAAGAGTGTGGCTGTTTGGTCATGAATTCACTTGTAAATGGGTGAATTTTTTTAGCGGAAATTTAGCTATCAATATTTACAAATATAAACATCAATATCTGAAAATATTGTACTAGTAACTTTTTTGCCAAATAAATATGTCAAAACACAACTAGTCCAACACAGTCCAGATGGAGGGTATAATGTCATTGAAACCACTAGAATATAGGCTTTTAATTTAAAGCATCTCCGACAAAATGCCAGGAGAAAGAAAAGATGAGAGGCTCAGAGGCTAAGGTGTACCTTAGTCAAAAACCAAAACAACAAAAAGCAAAAATCTCATGCTACTCCGACTACATTCCTACCCCCATACCTTTCTCTGCCACTACCAATTAGCTTACCTTTCAACTCACCCCACCCTTACTATCCCACCCCTATCCACGTATATACCCCTCAGACTTGGGTAAAATGAAATGAAAACAAAAATACGATTTTTCATATTTATAATTTAGTCAAATATTATGCTATGGTCCTTTTTTTTTGGTTAGTAAGGAAGTTAATATTAATAGTTAACGAAAGTCCATAATGCATTTGTCCAATCGAGTTAAAGTAGTACAAGTACTATAAAAAACAAGATCATATTATGCTATGGTCTTATTTGTCATTCATTTCTTTTTCTAAGCTGGACACGAAAACCAACAATACTTTCTTTAGATATCGTTTTTGGAATATTCAGCTAGAGTTTTGATGAGCTTATGATTTTTTTTTTTTTATTTTTGTGAATGTTCAGCGTTAAACGAATAAACTGTCAATTGATTATTTGAAATAACAGTACTTGAAATGTGTTATAATGAAATTGAGATGATGTATGTCAAGAATATTTATATTTTGTTGCGTGTTTATGGGTACATGAATTTATTTAATTTTATAACAACTTTATACTAAAGAAAAAAAATATAAATATCATAAAATAACATGGCCATGGATTAACAGGTGAGAAATTACTCGATCACTCATATAAATTATTTTATTGAAGATTAAAGAATATGAATTTGTATAAAAATATCAAGTTAAATTGTAGTGAATATTGATATTTTTCAACCTACTAGAGTTTTATTTCTCTCCTTGTTTGTTAATCGAATCTTTCACCTATTGAATTCATTAGTTTAGTTGCTCATTATTCATATAATTAGCCGTTATTTTTATCAGTAACTAGTCCATATTTTTTAAATTATGAACGTTCAGCTATTTTTAATCTGGAATTGATATTAAATCGGTGTTCAATTATTATATTTGTATGCATTACTAGTTGAGTACCGAGCTCTTTTAACGTAGATCTGTTATTGACTCTTATTCTCATTTTGGACTAATATTGTTAGTCACAACTCACAACTCGTTAAGAATGTCTTGATTAGAAAATTGCGAAAAACGATAAAAACATTAAAAATTGATAAAGTTAAAAGCTCTCCAACTAGCTTTAAGTGCTGATTCAACAAGGGTAGCTTTATTGAACTCCTCCCCTTTGGTTGAAAACTTAAGAAAGGGATATAAAAGGGAGGGATTACTGTTTTAAATTTGAACATCCCTGATAAAATTTAAAAATATAAATATTACACCATTTTTCCTAGCCCCAGTTTCATATGATATCTCACACTAAAATGCGGTCAACCACCAAAAAAGAAAGGACAAAAGTTAAATCTCATTTCCTTTTCCCTCCAACAAATTACAAGATTGATATTGGGGTTGGGGATGGGGGNATAAGCATTTTAATTTTTAATTAAAGGTTTTAGATTTGAGTCATAAATTTAAAATTTTCTTTATAAAGAGTGATTTATTTCTAAAGTAAAATTTTCCTACACTAATTCGAATTAAAACTTCAAAGATAATATCAAGAACAAGTGAGAAATTTTAAAAAATAATTTAGGATAGGACTAGTACTGTACAGGCAACTGCCCGACATTAACGGCGCAGAGACTTGAGATTGACCAGATAAATTTAAAGGAAAGAGAAAGAAAAATGGAGCAAACACAAAAAATAAAAAATAAAAAGGTAAAAAAGTGAGAGAAGGAGAAAGAAAAGGACAGACAGTAGGGGGCACCAATAGTCATAACCATCATACATAAAAAAGTAAACATTAAACATTTTGATAGTTTACAGAGAGAAAAAAAGAAAGGAAAAAAAAGAGAGAGAAAGAAGAAGAAGAAGAAGAAGAAGAAGAAGAGAGTTGGGTTCACGTTTGTGGGTTCTCCTGTGTGTTGGTTTGAAGAGATCTCTTTCAGATCAGAAGCTCAAAGGGTCACAAAAAGACAACCTCGTAAGGATTTGTTTTCTTTTCGATCTGCATGTTTTGTGTTTATGAATTCTTTACCACATTCTTTTTCTTTTTGTTCTTTCTTTGGTGGGGTTGTTTCAGCGTAGCTTCTCAGGCAACAAGACTTTACCTTTGGTAATTATTTGCTAGTTTGCTGTTTTCCTCTTTCTTTGTTTCTGTTTGTGTTGGCCCTGTGCATCTCTTATGTGGGCGTTTTGAGTTTTTGTGGTACAAAATGAATTTTTTTTGCTCAAAATGTTGGAAAATGGAAGTGGGGATTCGAAATGAGGGCTTTTAGGGTGATTGTCTTGCTCTTTGAGCTACTTTTTGTTTGTGGGTTTGGGAATTTGGTTCTTTTTCTTTTCTGGGTGCTTGAGCTGTGAGAATTTGGCCTTTATGTGACTATACTTTTTTTTTTGCGCAGAAAAGTTTGAAGTTTATCTTTTTGTTATGGGGTTTGAGCATTTTGGGGCATATGTTGGAGGCATTGTGGGTACTGGATTTGGCTTGATTCATTTTCTTTTATTTTTCTTTCATTTTTAATTGGTTTTCAACGGTGGGATGTGTTTGTCTATGTGTAATAAAGGGATTGTTGAAGTTATGTTTTTTGTTGGTTAGAAGATTACTTCTTTTTTCCCCAATTTTTCAAATTTGTGATGGATTTGAGCTTTTGTTTCTCCAAATTTAGATTGCCATTTACACATTATTTCTTCTATTTCTCTTTCTTTCCTCCACCCCGAGCTCGTGATTTCTTGGTATATTTTCCTTATGCAAGATTGTCAGATTCAAATATTAGTAGTTGAAGGATTGAAATACCCCAACAATAATTTAGGCACAAGCAGAAAATTCAATAAAGGCTATATAGAAGAAATTTATTAAACTAGTGAGAGAACGTAGTAGGAGGCTTTTTCACAACTCATAAACTCTTGAATCTCTCTATATCATAGCTACCTCTCCACAATAAAAAATATATAGTAGCACCCCTATTTATAATACTACAAACCAAATTTGACTAGAATCTAAAAAACCTATTCATACATGATTTTGGTTGTGAATCCTAATTAGACATAAATTAAATAAACTAGTAAATATCAAATCCTATTAATTAATCTTGGTTTACTTTCCAACAGTAGTTTTTTTGAATTCTAAGGTGGTTAAGATATTCTCCTGATCTCTCTCTCTCTCTCTCTTGCAAGTTCTTTCCCTTTTAATTCTGTAAATTTTCCAGTTGTAAGATATTTTGGGGGATATCCAACCTTCTATTTTACTGCCTTTTGCTCTACCTCAAACACTTTGTTTGACAGGCCCTGTCATTTTCATAGGGGGGTTATATTCTTTCGAATGTAAAGTTGGTAACTGCATAACTTAGTAGTTCCTGATTTGAGGAGAAAAGGACTTTCTTGACTTATTAACACTATCTTTCCTTTTAGAAATGTAATCTTACTTTGTCTAAGTAGATACTAATTTTGGGAGTGGTTTACTTAGAGGAACGATTGAGATAAAAAAGCCGGTTGCTGGAGACTCCTGTTGTTTTGTTATTTCTTGGCAGCACCTTACCTTCATGTTTTTTACTGTCCTAACTGTGATTACTATATAGAAGAAATATTTTGATCAATCAGCTGAACACTGCCTGTGCTCGGAAAGCTCAATATGTTTTTCTCTGGAATAAGACCTGCGCTTGTGATAGTATCAATAGGTTTGTTGAATGGGATGATCTCCTCACCTAAAAGCTTAAGCTATTAGATAGAGGATGCATTTAATGTGCCAAATGTCGAACTCTGGGACATCATTCTGGGAAATGTTGGAATAAATACTTGTATGACTTGCGTGATACCGCTGCACTTCATAGCTTTTAGATTTTCCACCAGACCTCGATTCTTCTTTTCTTTTGGGGTTTGCAATGTATGATTTAGGTTTTTATTTAGTAATTTATCTTTTTGGTTTGTGATCAAACAATTAGAAATGTTAAGTGGCCTTATTTCTGCTTGTCATGCAAACCTTTCATCATGAGTCATTTGAAGCACTAAATGTACCAGTTATAAGAACATGCTACCGTTGAGGAACTGCCTTTTGAATCTTTTATTCTGTTTATTTATCCTTTTGCAGGTAAATGGGGAGGGACGTTACAGGTTTACGTAGTGCTGACAGGAGACCTAATGTTAAGCCAAATGGTGTCACAGTTCATGTTGCCCCCAGAATTGCTAAGGAAAGTGTTGAAGCAAAGGACTATGAGGCAGAGGATCACACTGCAAAAGGCACACACGTGGAGGAATCCCATGAGAAGCAGGATGTACTATCCGTGAAGAGCACCAACTGTGAACCTGATACGACCGAGGGAAAAATTACAAAGACGGAGGCTGTGAAGTCCAGTGACAAGAAGTTGGGCTCACCATTGAAGCCTGACTCTGATTCTTCTGCGGTGACTGAAAGTCTAGCCCCACCAGTCATGAATTCATCAGGAAATGAATCTGAAAATCATGAAAATGGCACTCAGACTGTTGATGCTGGTTCTAACTGTTCATCCAAGTCCAACGATTTGCACTCTTCTATGACTTCAAAAAAATTTCATGTAAGATTTTATTTGTTTTCGTTTTAACACTTAACAATCATGAAGATGCTGCAAACCTTATAACCCGGAGCTCTTGGTTATTTACCACAGTATAAAGGATAGTATTTAGGATAGCATTTGAAAAGGTAAGTGGATTTTATTTGCAGCTCATAGATGTCAAGGAAACTGCTTGCTTGTTCCTGTTTTGATTAATGGAGAACTTCTCACCCTATAAATATGTTAAGATTTAAGTTTTGTGATGCTGATATCAGAATAGAATTAAATGGGAACCTTCAGCAGATTGTGACTCGGCTTTTGCCGAAAAGTAGATGGAATTTTGGTTTGCAACTTAGATGAGTTAGTCACTGAATGAAGAAGGAGAAGGAGAAGTTGGATGTGGGAAACAGAATGATAATTTGCTGCCATCAGAGACGAATGCATATTCAGTGTCTTGACTGAATTTTTTCAGGCTTCCATACTACACATATTTCAGTGTTTTATTGTCATTATTTTACACCCTTCATAATGCTTTATATAATATTTGTGTAGCCTCTGATGTCATTTAGTTCTTGTGCCCTGATTTCAGGCCACTGATTTTGAGAATTATTCATCTTGTTGCAGCAAAATTCTCCCATGATGTCAAGGAAACTGCGGATTCAGGATGAAGACGATAATTGGTCCTTGGCTTCATCGTATCCTCTTGTTGGCCTTCTAGTTCTTCTTTTTGTAGACATTATTATTAAAAATTTCTGCTTTCAATTTCTTGTTCTTCTGGGAAAATCTTCCTTATCTTTCATAGAACTGCAGCTTCTGTGCGGACAGTTAAGTCCAAGATTACTGTTCCTGTAGCTCCATCATTTAAATGTTCTGAACGCTCAGAGAGACGCAGAGAGGTATTTTCCTGAATGTTTGAATGCAATTTTTGTTTCAACCTCCTTACAAGGCCCCTCTCCCTCTTCCTTATTCATATTAACTTGTAGTGGTGCTTTTGTTTTCCGAACCATTGATGCTTTCTCATTCTTTCTCATTTTTTTCCTAGTATTACACAAAGTTAGAGGAAAAGCACAAAGCTCTGGAGGCAGAGAAACATGAATATGCAGCCAGAATGAAGGTATTGTAGTATGCATGTATCCTCAACCTTAACAATTGCTTAGGGGAGGGCGGAGAAAAAAATAAGACATGTTGTGAAGTAAGATACCTGACCCCTAACTTATTCTCTACAAATTCTAGGAAGAGGAAGAAGCAGCAATGAAGCAGCTTAGAAAGGCAATGGTCTACAGAGCAAATCCAGTTCCTAGTTTTTACCGTGAAGGGCCACCTCCAAAGCGTGAACTTAAAAAGGTACTCTTCACCTATATTTCCACTCTTTGTTTATCTTGAAAGTTGATTGCCTCTCGGCAATGTTTTTCTTTCTACCGTGTGTAAGAAACTTGTCCAATTAAGTTAGACTTTGGCCATATAATTTGAATAATCAATTTTTAATTTTAATGCCATGTTATAAATCACACTTCACCTAAAAAAGGAATTATATAGATAACAACCCAAGATGCGAGTTACTGATATCATCTTTAGAATGCATGTGTGCTATTTATTTGCATGTCTGTTCTATGCTCGAAAGTGTTGATGTCTGGCATAACTGAGACAACTTTGGCTCTGCAAATGAAACATTTTTTTCGTACTTTTTTTTATACGTAATTTAAAACCTATATGTGTTTTCTATTCCCAAGTATCAAGCTATCATGCAACAACCTTGACTTCTCTCTGGGCTTTTTCATGGTCTACATAGAGCTTTTATCTTTGTAAGTAAACAAAAATTTTACTGCTTTGCATGCAGCTGCCAGTGACTCGTGCCAAATCACCAAATCTGACCCGTAGAAAGAGCTGTAGCGATGCAGTCACACCATCTCCCGAAGAAAAGAAACCTTGTGCAAAGGTTCGTCACAGCATTGGTGTTTACAAACAAGGCAGTACTACCCCAACTACTCCCAAGAGTAAAGATCGCGTGAGTGCTCGGAATAGTAATGGAACTCCCAAAGCCAAAGAACCTACCAAATTGGTGAAAGCGAAAAAAGGATCCCCTTTAAAGGAGATGAAGGAAACTCCAATTAAGGAGATAAAGGAAACTCCAATTGCAGAGTCAAATGTAACTCCAATGAATGAGACAGAGGAAGCTCCAGTTAAGGTGACAAACGAAGCTTCTGTTAAGGAGATAAAGGAAATTCCCGCCTCAGAGATGAAGGAAACTTCTCATACAATGACAGAGCAACTGAGTGCGGATACTGCTGCTGAATCATGAACAATTAGTCTTCTTCTTTTTCATTTCCTTTTTCTTTTTCTTTGTAGTTTTTATCATCGAATCGAGATGTTCCAGGCAAGGTCAAATTGGCCCTCCTCTTTTCTTCTCGGCAATGACTTGTTGAAGTGATGCTTTTAATCCGTGTTGTATATTATCTGTAATTTCGATTGGTACATATGTTACATAGAAAGAGTGTTGGAGAACCTTTTGTTTATAAACATAATTTTAAGATAGTTTGACTGTGTTGTGTTATTGGTTCCTTGCCCATCTTTTGAGTGACTGCTACTCTTATATATTTGCCAAAAGATGGGTGGACAGTTTGTGCTCGAGGGCACTCGGTAAGTGAATTGCTGTTTCTAGTCTCTCTTTTGTTCAAAGGAAAAACTGTTATTTTGTATTAGACAGATGAATGCAATGTTTGTATTAAATGAATGAATGCATGACATATGTTTTTAATTAAACTTTTATCACTTCATCATATTCATGGTTAATTATGTATTTTGATCTTAACACTTAATCAAGATAAATGATACACTATGGTTTGGTTTCTAATAACAATAAGCAAGCAGTTACTTTATTCTACAACACTTATCAAAATATATGCTTTTGCCTATTTGGTATTTAAAATAAAAAATAGGCAACTGAAAATCATCATTTCAATCATGAAGACCGTTGCACTTGATGTTTTGTAGGGTACTTTTACGGCACAAATTGCTCTGTTGAAATGATTCTTGTTTTGACATGCTGTTACCATTTACTCCATTAAAATATAGTAAGAGCAAGCTTTTAATATCAGAAAGTATACTTGTATCTTGGATATAAAGTAAAAGAGTATTGTGAAGAAGCAACAAGAATTCGGTGGTGGGCGCCAATTAGCTTTTCAGCAAAAGCTATGGAATGAAGGGGCAACATAATTAGTGATAACTCATATAGTTGATTTTACTGGCTTAAAACTTGGATGTATTATTGTTGTAAGATAAGCTCTTAACCACTTTTTTTCTTTTTGGAATATATGCTTAATAAGTTTGAAACTAGTGTTAATACTTGGTAAAATCAACCATTTTATTTGCTTAAAACAAGTTAATCTATTTCTACAACATTTGATCAATTTGACTGATTTTCAAATTATGTATTCCTCTAATTTGCTTTAAAAACATTTAATTAAAGGATGTCCAAATTAATCTAGTAAAACAAGATGATGTACAAATTACAATGCACGAGGTACAACTCTCACAAAGCATAATCTCATTGTCCTGCATAAATTCCCCAATCGGCCCTTCCCTACTGTCCTTCCCCCAGTACCGTAGAAGCCAAATCTCGCCGCTGCGATCTGCAAAACCAGCGCATAACTCTCATTTGAGTGGCAAAGTTTTCCACTTTCAATGGACTCCCTATGGCTATTTCTATGAGAAATCTCGAAAAAGCTGCAATCTTTAAACCTTCTCCACACTTAATTCCACAGCTCAACTTCAATGGCCAACTCCTCAACAGCGCCGCCACCCAGTTGGATGATCAACAAGCCACAAGGCTACGAAGAAGATTTGGAGAACAACAGCAAGTGTTCCTTCTTGCTGGTAGCTCTCTGCCCTTGTCTCGTTTGTTTCATTATCATACTAATTGCAGTATTCATCTTTCTCGTTGTCAAGTTTCATCTTTTTTGCCACACCCCACTTCACTCTCTACTTTTCAGGAAAAGTTGTCATTGATTAATCCCAGAAAATGTTGGCCTCTTTTGCCAAAAGGGTGTTCTTATATTACCAATATTCATCCAAATTTGAAGTGTTCGAAGTTGAACTGTAGGCAGTTGAGTACAACTGTTTTGCCACGCTCCACTTCATTCTATGCTTTTCAACAAAAGCTGTCATTTTGTAATCCCAAAAAGATTTGGCCTTTTTGGTCAAGAGGGTGTTTTAATTTAACTGGTAGTCATCCAAATGTGAACCTTTTGAAGTTGAGTTGTAGGGGAATCTGTAGTTATGTAGATAATGATGGTGAATTAGAAAGTGATAATGATGTTGAGAGTGAGAGTGATGAGAGGGTGGAGTCGAAGGCGGATCCTAAAGAGGTGGATAGGGTGTGTAAGGTTATTGATGAGTTGTTTTCGTTGGATCGGAATATGGAGGCTGTTTTGGATGAATGTGGGATCAACTTGAGCCATGATTTGGTAGTGGATGTGTTGGAGAGGTTCAAGCATGCTAGAAAACCAGCATTCAGATTCTTTTGTTGGGCGGCTCAAAGGCCAGGGTATGCTCATGATTCAAGAACTTATAATGCAATGATGGCAATACTTGGAAAGACGAGGCAGTTTGAGACCATGGTCTCGGTTCTTGAAGAAATGGGGGAAAAGGGTTTGCTTACGATGGAGACATTTTTGATCTCCCTGAAAGCATTTGCTGCAGCAAAAGAGCGTAAGAAAGCTATTGGGATTTTTGAGTTGATGAAGAAATACAAGTTTAAAGTTGGGGTGGAGACTATCAATTGTTTACTTGATGCCCTGGGAAGGGCAAAGCTTGGAAAAGAAGCACAGTTATTGTTTGAGAAATTGGAGCATAGATTTACACCAAATATACAAACATATACAGTTTTGCTCAATGGTTGGTGTAGGGTAAAGAATCTGATGGATGCTGGTAAAGTATGGAATGAGATGATTGATAAGGGATTTAAGCCTGATATTGTCGCCCATAACACAATGCTGGAGGGTCTGTTTAAGTGTAAAAAGAGGTCTGATGCGATCAAGCTGTTTGAGGTTATGAAAGCCAAGGGTCCATCACCCAATGCAAGAAGTTATACAATCTTGATACGAGACTTGTGTAAGCAGGGGAAGATGGATGAAGCCATTGACTACTTTGAGGAAATGCTTAGTTCCGGAAGTGAGGCGGATGCTGCAATTTTTACCTGTTTGGTAACAGGCTTTGGAAATCAAAGGAAGATGGATAAAGTCTTTGCATTGCTGAAGGAGATGAAGGAAAAAGGATGCCCACCTGATGCGCGACTGTATAATGCGCTGATCAAATTAATGATAAATCGACGAATGCCAGATGATGCAGTTAGTTTATATAAAAAGATGATCCGGAATGGAATTCAACCAACTATTCACACTTACAATATGTTGATGAAATCATTCTTCATGACAAAGAACTATGACATGGGTCATGCAACTTGGGAGGAGATGAGTCTGAGGGGTTGCTGTCCTGATGAAAATTCTTACACTGTTTTCATTGGAGGGCTTATAGGGCAAGGGCGATCTATGGAGGCTTGTAAATACTTGGAGGAAATGATAGACAAAGGCATGAAAGCACCTCAACTTGACTACAATAAATTCGCGGCTGATTTTTCTCGGGCTGGTAGGCCTGATATAATGGATGAGTTGGCTAAGAGGATGAAGTTCTCTGGGAAGTTTGAGGTCTCAAGTCTCTTTGCTAGGTGGGCTGAGATGATGAAGAGTAAAGCGTAGGGATCCCAGCTGATAGTCAATGCGAATAAATTATCTATTTCATGTTCTCTATAATGCAGATGAGAGGATCACTAACCAATCAGTAGCACCTTTGACTATCAATGACAAAGGAGTGTTATGTAAGGTCTGAATTATGAAAACTCATAATTATTCCAGCTGTAAATCCCTTCTTGTCATAGAACATCTTGTATTTTTTTTGGTTCTTTTAGCAATCATTAGGCTTCTTGCTAATTTAAGCATCTTTTCGCTCCTCTCATGTACTCTTTCCTCTCATTGGTGATTTTCTTTTTCCTTTACAAGAACTGCATACAATTTTGATGCGCTTCCCCTGTGCGCCCTTTAGCAGCCTGCATAATTGCATTTGTACCTGCTTTCCCTTACTTCACCTCTTCGATCGCCTGCCTGAGAAGCTATATATCCTGGCTGTAGTATGTTTTCTGTACCTTCTGGAACAATAAAGCACTGAAATGATACCTATCTTTACAAGCTGCACTATGATTAAAAAAAAAAACGACACAAAGCTATACTTCCGGAAGTTGTTCTTTCAGGATCTCACATTTAATAAATTATAACAACCAAAACAAAACAAAAAACTGAGATTGTGGATGGAAGATTAGCACATTGTAAGTAGATTGTGTAGTTGCTTTAGCAAGTCCTTTCTAGGTATTTACAAATTTAACAGTTTTGGGGCGTGATTGCTTTAAATATTCTGTCTAAAGAGAAGGCGAAGGAGAGGAGAACTAGAACAAGGAAAGCCCAGTTCGAGTTAGAAAGGCATTGATGACTCAAGGTTTATATTAGGGAAGGAGAATGAGAGGATGAAGTGTCGGTTTTGGCCTAATCATCCAGTTTGCTCCAGTATCTCCAAATAGGTAGGGTTTTATAGTCAAAGTAACTTCGTCACTTTCATGTACACATTGGATGGCAGCTCTTCCTCAACCAAGTACATTGTCCCGAGGAGATACAAATTGCCACGCCATTTTCTTTCATCTTCTTCTGCCCATATTAAATGAAATAGAAAGAAAATCTTAAAAATTCCCTTTCCTTTGCCATCTATTCTTTGTTTCCAAACAGAGGATTTGGTAGTTTCTACGCATTTTCCTATATAAGCTGCCGACTCTTTCAGCTAGGAACATTCTTAAGGATTTTGTAACAATATTTAAGTTGAATGTGAAGTGGCTATGATCAGGGAGTAGTCGTAGCTGTGTCTCTACTTGGATACTATCTTATCCCATGGAAACTTCAGTTTATCCTCTGAAGCAAAGTTGTATAGAGTTCCAAAGCTGATCAGAACTTGTATTTAAGTTGAATCTGCAGTAGCCAGATTCTGTTGCACCATACATGGTTCATAAACAAACATCAATCTACTATGCGATCAGAGGTTGCACAAGCGGCAGTCAATAATGTGTTATGCTTGATTATACTAATCACTTAAGCACATGCTCACATATAGCAATGGAGCTGAGATCAAGAGAAAACCTTGAGCTGAGATCACATTAATATTTCTTTGGTGCTTTGGTTTGTTGTTTTACTTTTCTTTAATTTAGTTCATTGAAGTAGTAGTGGTGGCTTCCTTTGTGAGATCTACAAGAAAGGAAATTGATTCTATCTTATCTGTAAATGAATACATCCAATCTGCAATAGATTGGATCTGTGATCTTGTAGATATATGGCAGAAGATCTTAGATCTGAACAAAAACTTGCATTGTTGTAAGAGCATATGCCCGTTGCTCTAAAAAAGAACGTGTAAGGTTGCTTTCAACTCTTTTGATTTTACACCTCTATATTCAGGTATTGGCCTGATGCATTGGATTATGTGGGAAAGATTTGCTTGACTTTAGAGAAATTGGGCAAATGCAAATAAAGGTTTTTAAGAAAGAAATAAAAGACACAGGCAACTCCGTTTTCTCTCAATTCTATATTTGTTGTCTATGTCAATTTTATTGATATAACTTCCTTTTTTCGGCTACGAAGTAAATATTAGTAGTACATATCTGGACCTGTTAACTACACATGACACCCTGACAGTCATTAACAAAAGAAGATTATTACATAAGTTGGCGAAGAATCATATATCATTAATCTGTGATTTGTGAAAACTGTTACATACTACATTTTTATCCTAGAAATAGAGAATATATTAGTACTACTAAATGTAGCTAGATCGTCACTGTCTTCCCTTCTATAAGCACATGAAAGTTAGAATATTAAATTGAAAGATCATCAATTGAATGAAATACTTCCAGAGAAGATTATGTTTGTCTTTAAACATGGACGTTCTTCAATATTTGATTGATCCTACGCAAATAGGAAAAAGGAAACATTTGACGGGTTGTTTAGTTAATCTTATTACTGGAAATAATTTAATTTACTCCGACCATAAGCTTGTATTAAGTGACATTTTTTTTTTGTTTTAATAATCCACAACCTTAATTTGTCTCTTAAAATTAAATTACTTTTAGTTAGCCGGGTGCCTGACCTATACCTGTTAATCGGGTCGGGCTGACCCGTTTACAGCCCGGTCCTGTAGCGTGGGGCGGGCTGGGACGGGTTGGGCGGGGAGCGGGTTTCAGACGAACAGTTTTTTGATATCGGTGCATCGGAACCCACTAAGCCCGTAAACCCGTTAACGGGTTATTAACGAGCTACAGTCCGGTTCAGCCCGTTTATTAACGTTTTTTTTTTAAAAAAAAAAATTAAATGGACCAACTGAAACTCCTGATATTGACACTGGTATTTCTGATATACACAAACATTTAGAAACATTATATAATTATTATGCTAATATTGTTGATGCTTTTTCTGCTGTAGATTCAAATATTCCTTCAAGTTCAGTTTCAACATGTGGGACCAGTGCTTTGGATGATAATGATGGTGTTGAAGATTATTTGATTTGGTCTACAGTAGGGGAGCATCAACAAACGAGTAGCAGGAATATTGATGAATTTCAATTCTACTTGCAAAAGTCAGCAGAGCCCCACACAAAGGAATTTCTACCACTGAGTTGGTGGAGGAGTAACTCAAATAAATTTCATGTTCTTTCGGCCATGGCTCGAGACGTGCTAAATGTGCCGATTTCAACAGTCGCATCAGAGAGCGCATTTAGCCAAGCAAGACAGCAACTAGGAGATACCCATCATTCATTGGGTAGCAACGCTTTGAAAATTCTAGTGTGCTTCAGAGATTGGATAAGATCATAACGACGAAATCAAGGGCGTGACGAGGTAGATGAAGCAGAGGACTAAGAAATTGGAGATATAATGGTTTATGGTGCTGATTTAACCAATGCCGGAAACCAAGAACCTCATGTTGACATGGATGAACTTACAAAAATGATGCAAAGCATGTGATGTACTATTTTTTATTTTATTTTTTATAATTATTGTAAACTTTTAATTTGCAAGTTAAAAATTAAACAAAATCAAAAAAGAACTTGCAACTTAATTTGAAGTATTATATATTATTCAATAAAAATATCAAATGAAAGTCTTCGGAGCTTGATCCTTACATATTGCCTATTGGTCTTATTAAATAATTTTTTGTAGCCACTTACTTTCAAATTTCAATTTTAAAATTATAAAATTCAAATTTCAAATTTAAAACTTTAAACTTCAAAGTTTAATTCTAAGCCTTAAAAGTTTTCAAACACTTAAGTATCAATAACATTTAATAAGAAAAATAAAATTTACTTAAAAAAAAAAAATTCACGGCCCGCTAACAGTCCGCTAAGCCCGAACTCGGACGGACAAAAAAAAAACTCGAAAAAGTATAGCCCGCTAACTCAGTCCGCTAACAACCCGCGGGCTATTTTTTTTTGTGTGCAGGCCGTCCCAACCCACCCGTTAAACGCCCATCGCCTAACCTACCGCTGATTGAAGGAAAAAAAAAAGATTTTTATTTACGTACTAGTAAAAGTTTTCCTTTCTTACATGGAGTATTTCTTATCTCTTTTTAAATTCCTTTCTTACATATTACTAAAGGAATTTTTTGATTTTACTAATTATTATTTCCCCTTTCCTATGTCCATATTTTCTTGCTTTTGGAGAAACTTGAGAAGCGAGAGAGAGGAAGAGATGGCGGCAAGGAGTATCACATACATCACCGGCTCTCAGCTTCTCTCTCTTAAACGCCGTCCTAACATCGCCATCGTCGACGTCAGGTCACTCACATATTCTTCCAGATCTCTATTCTATCTATATTTCTGCAAAAACCTCCCCATATATCTGATTGCTTTTGTTTTGGCCTCAAATTATTTGCAGGGATGATGAGAGGAGCTACGATGGCCACATAGCTGGCTCACTTCACTTTGCTAGTGATACTTTCCGTGATAAAATTCCCAGCCTTATTCAAGCTGCTAATGGAAAAGATACCCTTGTTTTTCACTGTGCTCTTAGCCAGGTATTATCTGGTTTCCTTACCCACTTTCTCATATTTGGTAAATATCTTTTTCTTTTTCTTGTGTTGGGGTTTTTTCAGTATTTGGTTAAAGATTCTTTGTGGTTGTATTTTTGTTCTATCTTGATCACTCTACAGTATTTGCATCATATTGGCATGGGATGATTTAAATGGAGTAACTTGGTCAGCGAAGATTCATATAGTCCGCCTCTAACTTATTTGGGATTGAGGCATAGTTGTTGTTGCTTGATCAGTCTACAGTTCTCTTTTGGGTTTTGGCTTATCCGCTGTTGATACATTTCTTTATGAAACTGCTAATGGCATCTTGAACTTATCCCGGACTAATCTCAGTTTCTAAGCCATATTGTGGTTATTTGTCAACTCCTTTGGCATTTCTTTTGCCAGATTCAGTTTTTGGTTAAAGAGTGTTTCTTCACATCTCCTTATTGGGTTTCAGTTGATTGGGTTTTTAGGGGTTATTGGCTTGAATTTTGAATTGGCCAAAATTATGGAAAGCAGGTGTTATAGGATTTCAACTACTACTAGTGAGATAAATAACTTATAGAGTTATTGCTGTTGTTGGAACTAGAGATATCAAGATCAGTGAAGATACACAATGAAGCGGGGAAAGACTAATTAGAGAGTCTCACCTTGGTTTTCTTCCATAACTTAACATTTCCCTTAGTATCATTTATAATATAATTCCACAGTCAACCTATAGTAGTCATACAATTTTTACAATTTGAGTTTTACCTTAATTTTTCCTTTCCTTTTACTTGTTATGATGAGCCGTACAGAGCAATTATAGCCTCTTGATTTCCTTAGTTGCTTCTGCAAATCTTTTTTCTTTTGTTCCACATATGGATGCTTTTCTTTGAGCTACTGTTGGAATAGGCAATCCGGTAGCTTATACATATACTTCATGGC